ACAGATCCCTTTTCATTAATCACTTACATTAAAGTAAACTTGATGAAAAAAAAAGTTTTATCCACAAAGGATAAAAATAAAAACTCTCACTGATGATAAAAAGCTATAAATAACCCAATTACACAACTCAACCCACAATGAGTTCTAGTGAGTCCAGTTCAGGTAAAGTTCATTATTACTTTCTGGTCAGAAAGAGGACATTTTAATTTTAGATTAAAAAATCAATAATGGTAAAAAGTATTACTATAACATCATCAGTACAAGAAGTACCTCTCAGATATAATAATGATTGCAGATTCAATCAGTTTTCATTCATGCAATATGCATCTTATGATGTTTTTCTTTCCTAACATGCAGGATACTGTCAATGTCATTTCCTTAGGAAACGTCATCTTGCACATACACAAGAACACACAAAGTAAAGCCTTCTGTACATACAGAAGAAAAAGTCCACAGAATTTTAAACAATTCAGTCCAGTCATGTCTGACCGATATGGTCTGTTTAGCTTGTCTGGTATGGAGTCCAGTGTGAGTGGTCTACCACGGCCTCCAGAGGTCGCTGTTGTCTTTTCTCTCCAGAGAGCATTGGGTGATGCTCGTGTGGTCTTTCGAGCTCAGAATAGAGAAGTCAGCCTCTTTCAGCTTCTCATCAGAGGCAGTCTGCAGCTTGTTGGAGTGCGTTAGCAGGTTTCTCTGCTGCTGTAGCTGCGTCAGAGAGCAAACGGTCATCTCCAGGATGTCTGCCTTCTCCAGGTTGGAGTCTGGCTGCTGTTTGAGGAACTCTGGAACCAGGAGAGACTTGAGCTGCTCAATGCAGGTGTTGATTCGCTCTCTGCGTAACTTCTCCATCAGAGGCTTTCTGAGCTGCAGAAAAAAGAACAAAGTCATTAATAAACTTGTTCAGGAGTTTTGTTTTTGTTAGCAACAAAATATATTTTCTACAATTTGACAGTTTACATGAACGAAACCTTCAGTTTACCTTGTGGTTCAGAGTCAGATCCCGAGAACTGGTCATGGCTGGATCGCTATGCTGTAGAGGTCTCTGTAGAGAGAATCTGATCCCTTCTGATTTCATCCCTCCTATTTATACTCCATCATCTCCATATGAATGTGTGAGTCTTGGTCTTGTTGAGGTTTCCCACAGTCTGAGCCAAACAGAGAGCTGCTTGAGACAATAAGGCATGTGAGGCAGCGACATTCTGTCATTACCACCGGGAGTATAATAGTTAGCTCCCAGGGGAGCAGGTGGAGGAGATAAAGAGAGTGCAAGAGGGCGCTTTGTGAATCTGTGAAAGGGAGCAGATCTGATATCTCAGCACACCCTTAACATCCTATCAAATACGTGCAAGTTTACTTGATCTAATTAATGAATTATAGCTCTAACTGATAGGTAGATGACATTAGCTCTTGCTTGTTTACCAAAAAAACTGAAGAGTGAATTGTGTATTGAATGTATTGTTATATTTAATTTGTAATTTATCAAGATATTTCATTTGATACTTTATTTAAACTTTTATCAAACCCTTTTTCAATAAAAAAAAATCCAATTTTTCCTGTAATAACATGGTTGAGTGCAAGAGCCTGTGATTTTCTCACTGAAATTACTCAACACGATTATCATGCTGCTGACCACATGCAGTCATCCTTTGACACGTGCCGTATATCCAGTGTGAGTAGCAAGTTGATCTCAGTTTCCCACACTGACTCCCCGCGCTGTGTTCAATTAACCACAAAGGGACTACTGTGACAGATGCTGCCCGTGTGTTGTTATACAAAGAAAGAATTACATCACCAACCATCTGGAGGGAAAAGTTCCCATTGGTTGGCTCTGACAGACAGTTTCAATTTAAAACTGCTGTTAAAAAGTTTATCAAAACTAAACTCAGAATGTTTAAACCTGTCACATTTTAAGTTTTCTAACACTATAATACATTTTGAACTTTGGTGATAATCACTCACTCACTACTGAGTATCAAAGTAATCAACATTTTAACTGTGAGAGTGGGAGGTTTCCTGAAGTGTGCCAAATCCCTCAGGAGAATTAGCCGGCTGCTGGTCGGCTGATCGTTATTCACTCTCAGCTCTGTTCTCCAGAGTTTTCCCACACTTTAGTAAAAAAAAAATTGACATGTGCCAGTATGTAAGTCAACATATTTTTTTATTGCAAAGGTGTGTGAAATCTTCTGAAAAATCTTGCCAGTTTATTTTTTTTTTAAAAAAACTGGTTGTTCAAACCTTTTTGAGAAAAATTAAAATTCAATAATCTTACAACAAAAAACAAAAAAACAAAACAGATTTCTGATAATTAGTTTTAAATAAGAGTTGCATGTCTGCTACTTAAGCTAAACTGGTACACACGGCATATAGCATCCTCTGATGTTTGCTTTACTTTATTGTTATAGCAAAACTTTTTCACTGAATCCCCAACCTGCAAAACACAGGTTTCAGGTGGTGGATGCTTAAAAAATATAAAATAAGAAGAGAGATTAAAAAATTACTGTGACCTGTAGTTCCTGTAGACTTCCTGTTATTCAAAAAACTTTAGCTTTTTCTGAATGACTCTTTTTCAAGGTTTGTACAATGATTTTCCACATCACCTCTTTGATTCTAGTCCACAGCTGAATCGTTCTCAAACACCTTGTGTTTAAATAGTGCTTCTAGTTTAAGAAGATCATATAACAGTTTTCTGATGGAAATGGTACTGCTGCTTTTTTCAAAGGAAGCGCAGCCATCATGATGATTTAAAACATCTTTCCGCTTGTGGAGTCTCGCTCCCTTTTATCCTCTGTCCCTTCAGGGCAAAGGTCTGGATCTATTGTTCCACTGGGGCTCTGTGAATGAGTTTCTTCTGCTTTCCAACACTTAGTCCTTTCAGTGCTGTCACTTGAGAAACAATAGAAGTGTGCCTTATTGAGCACCACATAAGCTAAAATATACATCATCTTTTAAGATTTAAATGATTAACTTTGAACAATTATTAAAACATGTGAAGCTGATGATTTTACCAGAAAAGTTAAGACACTGCATATTTGATCTTTAAGTTTAAAGATTTGACTTCCAACTGAACAAACTGAAATAACATCGATGGCCCTTCTCATTACGAATGTTGGCTTTTCACTGAATGTGCATTTTTTGGATAAACAATTATAATAAGGTTCTAAAGGTTTGAAGTATTTGTCTACAACAAATGGAGACAAAGATAGAGACACATGACAGAAAATGAAGAACATACAGTGTTCAACAAATTTATTGAACCGCCTGTTATAAAACAATAAAACAGACATCTTAGAAATCTGTCAAAAAGTTGTTAGAAACTAGAAATTACATTATAAATATGAGCCAGCGCACTGGGTGCCTCTGAGAAGTCAGAAGTTAATTGAGCATTACAATCAATCACTAAAACTTTTTTTTTCTGTTCTGGAATCCATGTAAGTAATTGTAATTTAGTATCATAAGCAAAAATAATAATGTGCTTTACTTTTTTTTTTTACTTTTTTTGTAAAAAACAAAACAAAAAATGTATTGATAACAATTATATTTTAGCATTAAAAATATAATTTTAAATAATGAGTTTGAGCATACTGGTGGATTAACAATAACACAATTACCAATTCTGTTCATTTATAGCAGCTGTTCCACCAAATGTAAACCTTGGGTGCCCCAAAAAGACGTTACATGGACTTCTTCATTCTGAAAACGCTACGTCCAGATAAACAGAATCGGCTTTTTGGGATTTCATTATAGCTTGATGATTGAGCATGCGTCAATGCACTTACACTGGGTGGTGTTCTAATAAATTTGTTAGTCACTGTTTGACTAGCATCAATGTAAAAAGATAACAGATCAACTGCATAAAAATTATATGCAAGCACAATGTTTTACACTGGCAGTGTTTATTTATTCAACAAGGACGAAATCTCAAACAGGTGGTGATGATACATCACAACAACAACTTTTAGATTTCTACAAGACACACTGTACTCAGAAAGAGTAGAGGAAAAGCTGTCTTTATGAAAGACAATGAATTTACAATATTCAAAAACCCAGTACTCAGTGACATTTGATTTCTTTTTCCACTTTCACTAAACAGCAAATGACCTTAAAATACATTGTTATTAACTGCTAAATTCAATTTTTTCTCACAAAGTAAATATTACTTTGTCTTCTCAAACCTGACATTAACAAAAACAGTAATGTTTTCAGTAAAACAATAAACATATTGATCTTAAAACAGATCAGTTTTAGTAATGACATACATTGAGATACACGTCATCTAAATGTCCGCATAGAACAATTAAGATATTAAACTGATCAATAATGATCATGAAGTACCAATATCACTGTCAAGTTTTTACCGACTAAGAAAATTGTGATATTAAGAAAACCTTTTAGAAAGAAGCTGTAAACACTTAGACCTTATAACAAATTCAACCTTGAATTTAGATTAATGTTAAACTGATCAGAAACAGTCAAGAGGTACAAACATCACAATTACACGACTTGCCCACATTGAGTCGCATAGTTAGAAAATCTTCATGAAAGAAATACTAAACATTTGGATCTTATAACAGATCAATTTTGTGTGATTAATATCTACAATCACAATAAATCCTTAAAATGGACACTTAAAATTTAGATCCAAAAAATCGAAAACCAATAAAAGGTAACGTCAATGTCAATTGAAGAAAATCAATAATAGTAAAAAGCATTACTATAACATCATCAGTACATGAAGTACAGAAAGAAACAATTAAAATTGCTGATGCAATCAGATTCAATTCATGCAATATGCATGACATGAAATTTTCTTTCTCAACATGAAAGATATTGCTACTACACTTTCCTTAGGAAATATCATCTGACACACACACACACACACACACACACACACACACACACACACACACACACACACACACAC